CCCCCCAGCCCAGCCTTTAGCAGCAGTTTGAAAACAATAGTGAATCCAGAGTCGAGAGCACCATAATGTGGGAGTCCCTGCGAGAGACGAGCCACGGCACCGGGGTGGGGGGACAGACACGGCTCCACCCCGGGGACACACGGCCAGATGGGGGTCAGAGAGCAAGGGAGGGACAACAGAGCCAACCCTGTCCCAGCACAGCCCCTGCCACGGAGAACAGCTGTGGGGAGGGAGGGGATCACGGGGCAGGGGTGACCTGGATCCAGCCAGAGGGACCTGTCCCCCCCAGCCCGCACAGCAGGGCGCTGGTCCCGGCCCCCCGAGCGAGAGCAGAGCTGTGGGGGGGTCCCCACTGACCCCCCGACTGCAGCAGCAGGTCCCAGGCACGCGTGGAGGGCACGCAGAGCTGCCCTGGGGACACCAGGAGTGGGGGGCTCTGCGCTGAAGCTGGGCTGGGCTTTCCCCCCCCAGGTTTTGCTCCACTTCCAGCTCCCCCCTAGACGTCCCTGATAGGTTGGGGTCCCCCCTCCCCAAACAGTTTGGCACAGGGATGGTCACAGCAGCTCCCCCCACCCCCAGACCCACCCCCAAGGATGCAGCATGCAGCCCCCTGTGACCCCCCTGCGTGGGCACTGCCAGGCCCTCAAGACCCCCACCAGCTGACTGCAGGCACAGCTGGACAGATTTGGGGGTGAGAGGATGCTCCCTTGTCCTCTGAGTATGAAGGGACCCCCCCAGTGTGACCCCCCCTTCCTGAGCCAGCCTGACCGGCGAGTGCCAGCCCAGGGCAGGGAGGGGGGGCAGCCCCAGAGTGGGGGGCTCACCCCAAAACCTCAGGGCAGGGGGGATTCACAACCCCCTGACCCAGGCCCAGACCTGCCCAGGGTGTCCAGGTGCCCCCCACCCCATTGGGGTGAGTGAGGAGCGGGTGTGGGGGGGCACAGCTGGCTTTGGGGGTGCTGGGAGGGAAGGGGGGCTGTACCCCCACGTTTGAGAGTGACGCCCCGATGGGAGCCCCACGTACAAAAACTGTCACAGAATAAATAGAGGCACTGGGGCAGGGCGGGAGGAAGGGGGGCACGAACGGGGGCTCCCCAAATCCAGCCCCACTCCAGCCGAGTCCTCTGAGCTCCGGTACCCACACTGTGTCCGGCCTGGGGGTGCCCGGGGGCTGGCCTGGCCCCTGTCCGTCCCTCTGTCCGTCCCTCTGTCCGTCCTGCCCCTCCCCAGCTCGGCGGGGCTCAGTTGTTGATGTCATCGTAGATGCTGGGGGTGTGGGGGGCAGGGGGCTTGGGCTTCTTCTTCTTGCTGGAGCCGAGCCCTGGGGCGCCGCTCACCAGCCCCAGGTGGGGCTTCTTCTTCTTGGTCTTGCGGGACTCGGAGTTGTTTGTACCTAGGGACGGGAGAGAGGGAAGAAATGGGGGTGTCAGGGAGGAGATGAGCCCCAGAACAGAGTGGATGATGCCCAACTCTGGTCAACACCCAAGAAAATGTACCCCAGAATGTTCCTGCCCCTCCCAAGTGGGGAACAAGGTGCTCCAGGCTTTGGAGCCATGGTCTGTTCAACCCCTCTTGTACTGAGGACATGCCAGAAC